GTCCCGGCGGCCCGGGCCGGGCGGCGTGGCGTCAGCTCTGTCGTCATCCTCGTCATTGTGCCCCGGCCTTCGCGGGGTCCGGGGGGACTCGGCCGCGGGAGCCCCGAAGGCGCCGGGGAAGAGTGGGTGTTAGGCCTCCGCGTGCGCCCGGGGCTGGGAAAATGCGCACAGCGCTGCGGAGCTGTGGCCTGTGGTTTTGGCCTGGGCGGGGCGCGTGGGCGCCCGGCCCGGGGGTGGGGGGAGGCGGAGGCGCCTGACTGAAACCTGCCCTGAAGGAGGTGACCCCAAGGGCAGCAGATTTTCCAGCCCAGGGAATTGGGGCTGAGCTCCATGGGATAGTGGCTGTTGGCCAGGTGGGGTGCACTGAGCCTATTGGCCGGTGCGGGCGTGAATCTGGGGTATAAACCTGGGACAGCTAGTGTCTGAGTGGTTTGCATTATTTTGGACCCCACTGGATGTTTTAAATTGAAATCCCCTTATAAATTTTAATCCACTGACACACGGTCTTGCATTTGTTCACAAGACCTCAGGTTATAAATATCCTATCAGGATATAAGAAAAGAAGACACTGAATTTTCAACAAGAGTTTCATAGATTAAAAAAGTGTTTTAAAGATGGGGATGACAGACAACTTTCTGCTATTTAAGATTGCATTCAGCTTAAAATATGTCATTTTGAGTTGGAATGTAAAATCTGTGTGGTAAATTTAATACCAATTTTTTGAGAGTTAAATTGTTTTTGCCCCTTGGCTTATTTTTCCCTAGCTCCAATGCCAGGGTTGAATGGAAGGAGAATAAATATAAACTGGATTCCCTCAGCTTCCAGTAAATGTTGTCACACAAGCTGCATCAGTCTGTGGGCAGCAGTTTTTTGTTTTGTTTTGTTTTGTTTTTTTAATCGTGATCACATTTCAGCCAACCGAGATGCAGGGTCAAACTGAAAAGACCACATAGGTATTTCCTGTGTGTCCATTTAAAACAGGTGCCCTCTCCAAATAGTCTCTGAGTCAGAGAATGTGTTTGAGGGGGCAGGGGAAACAGAGTGTTAGATAAAATGAAAGTGGCAACTCATGAGTACTTTCCTGAATTTTTCTATTTTTTATAACTATGATAAAAGATAATGATGTCACAAAAATGAAGCTAATGTCAAAATCCCACGAGAATAAATTTATTGACAATTTGTCATTTTATCTTCATGTAAAATTTGGGCCAATCTTTTTATATTGCTATAACATATCCATGTTATAGGTCCACATGTTGCAAAATTTAAAAATTAGTTCTCTGAAAACCTGTCTACTTGGCTAGGGTCTTAATAAAGTTATATGAGTTGATTATGTTTTGTTTGCAGGGGAAGCAGACATAATTGCTAAGAAACTGAGATTGTCTTTGCCAATGATTTATTGAACATAGATACACTGTCAGATAAATAATCGGTAATAATAATATCTCATGTCAGTAGCATACAGGATAGCATCTCTTATCTTGCCAGTACAGACAGAAAATAATCCAAACTAAGAACAGATTGCTTACAGTGTTTTTCCAGACAGAAGGGAGATGAAAGAAACAAATCCAGATTTAATTGAGGTTTACCTTTCTACAAGTTGGTACTGCATAGAGTCAATCTTTTCAACAGAGAGCTTAGCTTCCTACCTACTGGATTTCAGAGCTAGTGGGTGTAGACAAGACTTTGGCAAGCATGACAGTCTGCTCTGAAGGGACAGTTACAAAGTCTTAACTCCTACTTGAGTAGCCTTGTCCAGGCAAGAAACAAACAGCCTCATGTCTCTGAAACCACTGCATTATTAACACCACTGTCTGCAGGAGTGTCTCAAGACAGGAACAAGTGTCTCTAGATCTTCCTGAGATTGCTGCTATTTAAGTCAGCAAATAGTAGCCTTCCCCAGACGGCACACTCTAAATAAGTTCTCACACCCTTTTGGTCTTTAAAGTTAAAAATGTTACCCACGTGTAGGACGCTGTTGCTGTTGCTATGGTGTCAGTGATGTACTTTGCTACTGATAAGCACAGGGAAGCACAGTCCCTGCATATTTCCTGATGACCAACTTTAAAATAATTTCATCAAAAATTGTTCAGTTCAAACCACTAACTACTTTGTCTACAGAATGCTTTCAAAACATGAATTTGTTTTGGAACCAAACAGTACACCACAATGCACCATTCTCAAAGTTTGATGTACCCTATTTGACTTATATTTTATATGACTCCCTCTCCCTAGCATAACAAAATACACTATTTTCATAAAGACCTGTAATTGTTTTTGTAGGCACTTTCTAAATAAACAATTATGGCACTGAAGAGCTTTGAATATGTTATAATGGACTTTTTATTTTGTGATTTGCTAAACATGATAAATTTTGTGTTTTTCTTCAAGAATGGAGCATTCACATAAACTTTGACTCAAATATTTTATGAGACTTCAGTCCACAATTTTTACAACTTCATTATAAGTATATATTAACATGCCTTGGTGATTCTTTTTGCTTTTAAAACCCATTTAATAGTCATGTCTTAAAGCCTTTTTTTGTGAAAAAATTAATCTACACAAGCTTGTGCTTTTTGGTATAAAAATACAATGGGGTTATTGCTCTTAAAATTTCATTCAGTCAAAGGCAATTTACTAGTGGACTATAATTCATTGCTAAGTGTGTACAGGATGATTCTACATTTGAATTAGAGATTAATGCTTTCATTGTATAGATGATGGAGTTGATGCCACTTTTTAATTTTGTATTTGACTACACAGTTAGTGGCGGTGGAGAAAAGTTTTATTCATTTGATCCCATGGAAGCATGTTTCCCAATTGAAGATTTCAGTAACTTCTTTTGGTTTCTAGTTACATTAGAATTTTTTGATTGTTGTAATACTTTAACTCAGTCTTTACATGGCTTGAAGATATTGTTTAACTTCTTGAAACATTGACACAGACTTTTAACTATTTTTAGAGGGAGAGGGTGTGACATCTTGGTGATGCTAATCCCTCTAATAAGGGAATGTCTTTTATGTTGTATTCTAAGACACCAACTTCATACAGCCATGGGAAGAATTGTGTTTATCTGTATTCTTTTTCTTTTTTTAAAATTTATTTATGTATTCGTACAGAACTGGGGTACAGGCCAGAGATGCAGAGGGTGAGAGGATTCACCAGAGAGAGTGGGGAGCAGAACAGGCAGATCACCGAAGTACACTGCTGAGGGGAGCAGTGGGCGGGTCAGGAGAGGTCTGCCACGCCATGTGGATCTCCTCCCGGGGGCAGGCGGGGATTGAACTCATGAGGACGTGGCTTAAGCTTCTTAGTGCAGTGCTTTAACCCGCTGCGTCACCAGGGAGGGCCTACCCGCTGCGTCACCTGGGAGGGCCTATCTATATTCTTTTGCTGAGCAATATATAGGCACTTCCTTTGGTGCTGGGTTGCAGCACTTTCTAACCACATCAGTACATTTGGACAAATCACTTTTTCACCTTCACATTTGGGATGAGACCTTCTGAGAGGTTTGGTCACAGAAAAATTCCCTGGGTATTACAGAAAAGATACCTCTTGAGCATTTATTTTTCTTTACTATAAAGGTAATATGTTCATGATATTGACATAGGAAAGTTTAGGAAAAAATACTTTCACCATTGAAACATTTTAGCCTCTACTTGACAGTCTTTTTATAATACAAATTTGGCAGCTTTTTTTTTGCTTTAAATTTTAAAACTCCCTGTAAAAATCATGTTTTCATAATTGTGTAGCATGGCATAAAGTAAAATATATTTTTCTTTAAATTTTCTCTGGCTTGGTATGTTTAGATTGTTTTATTGTTAATATTCACAAGATTGTACTTTTTTAGTATAAAAAAATACAGTGGGGTTACTGCATTTTGAATTAAAATTGATCTTTTTAAAGGATTGTTTATAACTCAAAATCAGTTAAACATGCCCCCTTTATAGTCTGCATATATTTTTTCTTGTGCGTAGGAGGTAAGGTACGTCTTCTACCTTAAAGGATTTTTGGGAAATACTAAGATTTACGTGGAAGACACTGGAAAAAATCATTTATTCCAACAATTAATGTTCATTATCAACTTTTTTTTTAAAGATTTATTTATTTGTGCATACAGAACTGGGGTACAGGCCAGAGGCTCAGGGGCAGTGAGAGGCTTCACCAGAGACAGAGTGGGGAACAGAACAGGCAGATGGACGAAGTACACTGCTGAGGGGAGCAGCGGGCGGGTGAGGAGAGGTCTGCCACGCCATGTGGTCTCCTCCTGGGCAGGCGGGAATCAAACTCATGCGGAAGCGGCTTTAGATTCTCAGTGCTGTGCTTTAACCCGCTGCGCCACCAGGGAGGGCCCATTATCAATTTTTTTAGGTAACTTTAGATATGAAACAAAGTCAGTGTAGTTAATAAGCTAGATTTTTTCCCTGTTAACCAGAAGAGTTTTTTTTTTGCAACTCCAATGAGCAGCAGCTCCTGGTATTAGTGCTGATGCTACTGATTGCAACAGTTTTCTGTAACTTAAGAATGGTCTGCATTTGCTTAAAGAATTCTACAAAGTTATGCGAATGTCAAGGATTCTCTAGAGAGACATGGGAAAACTTTTGGAAGTGTAGTGTTAACACGGGGCAGGAGCAGGACAGGTCTCATACAGACAGTAAAACACCCTCCAACTCCCTCCATCTGTCAATTTGCATTTGCCAAAACTACTCATCTTGTTTGCAGGCCTCTGTCTTCCGGTGCCTAAATCCAAACCCAATACATCTGATAGGATTCAGTCCACTTTAACTGTCCTTCAGGACGTTGGATGGACTC